CTGCCCATTTTTTCACTGGATTGTTTGTATTTAGGGTGAGGAGTTTGATGAGTTCCTTATAGAATTTGGATACTAGCCCTTTATCTGATATGTCATTTGCAACTATCTTTTCCCATTCTGTCAGTTGCCTATTAGTTTTATGGATTGTTTCCTTTGCTGTGCAGAAGCTTTTAATCTTAATGAGGTCCCAACAGTTCATTTTTGCTCTTGATTCCCTTGCCTTTGGGGATGTGTCAAGTAAGAAATTGAGGTCGAGGAGGTGGTTTCCTGCTTTCTCCTCTAGGGTTTTGACGGGTTCCTGTCTCACGTTCAGGTCCTTTATCCATTTTGAGTTTATTTCGGTGCATGGTGTGAGAAAATGATCTAGTTTCATTCTTCTGCATGTTGCTGTCCAGCTCTCCCAGCACCATCTGTTAAAGAGGCCGTCTTTTTCCATTGGATACTCTTTCCTGCTTTGTCAGAGATCAGTTGGCTGTATACTTTTGGGTCCAATTCTGAGTTCTCAATTCTATTCCATTGGTCTATGTGTCTGTTTTTGTGCCGATACCATACTGTCTTGATGATGACAGCTTTGTAGTGGAGGCTAAAGTCTGGGATGGGGATGCCTCCCGTTTTTGGTTTTCTTCTTCAGTATTACTTTGGCTATTTGGGGTCTTTTGTGGTTCCATATAAATTTAAGGATAGTTTGTTCTAGTTTTGAGAAGTATGCTGGTGCCTTTTTGATTGAGATGGCATTGAATGTGTAGATTGCTTTGAGTAGTAGTGACATTTTAACTATATTTATTCTTCGAATCCATGAGCATGGAATGTTTTTCCATTTTTTTGTGTCTTCTTCAATTTCCTTCATAAGTTTTCTATAGTTTTCATCATACAGGTCTCCTATATCTTTGGTTAGGTTTATTCCTAGGCATTTTATGGTTTTTTGTGCAATGTACAAGTATTTTTCTGTAACAGGTACCTAGAAGTGCAATTGCTGGGTTGAGATACGCATATTTAAATAATTTTAATTTTTGAAATGTTGAAATAATTACAAACCTACAGGAAATTTGCAAGTTGGATATAAGGAAGTGCCCCCCACTCCTGCAGTCATCTGAGAGTAAGCTGCTTACTTGATGCTCCATCACCCTCCCCCTACCCCCACCCTCCCACCCCGCACATCCACAGTATAACTTTAGGGAGTGTTTTCTTCAAACAAGGACATCCTTTTATATATCTGCAGTGTAACTGTCTGAGTCAGGAAATTAATGTTGATACCTTACTTCCACCTAATCCTCAGACCCAATTCAAGTTTCACCGTTGTCACCATAACATCTAATACAAGGAATTCAGATTTATTGTCTACCTAGATTTCCCAGGTTTACCACATTTGCACTGGTCTTTGTAGGTGTCTTTAAATATTTTTTCAGAATCAGTGACAAGCAGGCTGCTCATTAACTCCTAATACTTCAGTGTGCATTTCCTTTTTTTAAAGGTTTTTTTTTTAATGTTTTATTTATTCCTGAGAGACAGAGACAGCATGAGTAGGGGAGGGTCAGAGAGAGAGAGGGAGATACAGAATCTGAAGCAGGTTCCAGGCTCTGAGCTAGCTGTCAGCACAGAGCCGGATGCGGGGCTTGAACCCACGAACCATGAGATCATGACCTGAGCTGAAGTCAGACGCCCAACTGACTGAGCCACCCAGGCGCCCCTTCAGTGTACATTTCCTAAAAACAAAGATACCTTCTTCCCTGACCACAATAAATCCAGAAAGATGGAATTGACAGTGAGCCACTGTTACCATCTGGTCAGCAGACCTCTTTCAAATTTCACAAAGTGTCCCAATAATGCCCTTTATAGATTCAGGATCCAATTCAGGATCACCTGTTGGATTTAGCTGTCACAGTTTCCTTGATCTCAGGGATTATTGTGCAGTGCTGAAAGCTGTTGGCTCATGTTTTGTCCATTTTATACTGTTTACAGTGCGAGGACTAATCTTATACCAATTGCTCAGTCATAGCAAGAAGCAAAAGTCTACTCCAGAATTTTAGAAGCTAGGTTACTAAGTGTTATAATTTTTATTTTCTTGGCGGATTATATACTTTACAAAATATTGGCCTTTTCCTATTTAGATGTTGGGGTCTTGAATTTTATTGTCATATTTTCTTAGTTTATTTTCAAGTTGGTTTCCATATAACACCCAGTGCTCATCCCCACAAGTGCCCTCCTCCATGCCCATCACCCCCCTTCCCCTCTCCCCCACCCCATCTGCCCTCAGTTTGTTCTCAGCATTCAAGAGTCTCCCATGGTTTGCCTCCCTCCCTCTTCCCCCCGTTTCCCCGCTTCTTCTCCCCCATGGTCCTCCGTTAAGTTCCTCCTAATCCTCCTATACGTGCAAACATATGGTAGCTGTCCTTCTCTGCCTGACTTATTTCGCTCAGCATAACACCCTCAAGGTCCATCCGTGTTGCTACACATGGCCAGATTTCATTGTTTCTCATTGCCATGTAGTATTCCTTTGTATAGATAATGGAATACTGTCATATTAATATTGCCACATCTGTTTTCTTCCTGTTACCATTTACTTGGTATATATTTCTCTATTACATATAATTTTTTGCGTGTGATTATTTTGTTTTATGTGTATATTTTGTCAACAGCATGTAGTTATACTTTTATTACATTTATCTTTTAATAAATTTCTCCTCTTTACACTCATTTTTTAACTGATATGATTGCACATATTGTGTTAAGGATCATATGGTGACTTTCATTGGACTGATTTTTAATTATTGGTGTTGATCTTTTTTCTTGAATGAACTAGAGGTTCTGTATCCTATGTCTTCTTTTAGTGGTTACCCTTATTTTTTTTGCTATGGGAAATGGATTTTTAAAAATAAGATACATTTTTAGAACAGTTTTAGATTTACAGTGCAAAGCTAGTAAAGAGAGTTCTCATTCTTCACATTCGGTTTCCCCTATTTTTAACATTTTACATTCATGTGGTATATTTGTCACAATTAATGAACTAATATTGATGTACTGTTATTAACTAAATTCCATACTCTATTCAGATTTCCTTTGTTTTATCCAAAAGTCTCTTTTTTTGTTCCAGGATCCAATCCAGGGTACCAGTGACCTTCCATTATTATATCTCCTTAGGCTCTTCAGGCTGTGCCAGTTTCTCAGATTTTTTTTTTTTATGACCTTGGTTTTGAGGAGTACTGGTCACATATTTTGTAGGATGCCCCTCAATTGGAATTTGTCTGATGTTTTTCTCATGATTATATTAGGGTTATAGGTATTTGAGAGGAAGACCACACATGTATAGTGCCTGTCTCATCCCACAATATCAAGGGTATATACTATCAGCATAACCCATCACTGTTAGTGTTAACCTTGATCTCATGTAATACTTCTTAGATTTCTCCACTGTAGAGTTACTCTCTCCTCCCACCCACATTCTTATACTGTAATCCTTGGAGGTAAGTCAACACTTATGGAGTGGAGAGTTATGCTTCATCTCCTTGAGCTAGAAATATCTACATAAGTTAATTTGAATTCTTCTATTTCATCCTCCTTTTTTAAGGTGTGTGTGTGTGTGTGTGTGTGTGTGTGTGTGTGTGTGTGTGAGAGAGAGAGAGAGAGAGAGAGAGAGAGAGAGAGAGAGAAAATATCTGAAGCAGGCTCCAGGCTCCAAGCTTTCAGCACAGAGCCTGATGTGGGGCTCAAACCCACAAACTGTGAGATCATGACCTTAGCTGCAGTCAGATGCTTAACCGACTGAGCCACCCAGGTGCCCCCTATTTCATCCCTTTTATGTATTTGTTTAAATATGTATATCAGCATGGAAAAATGGATATTTTATACTTTGGATTATAATCTAATACTACTTTATGGATTAAATTATTCCAGTTAGCTGTTGGGAACTCTTTCAGTTGGCCCTGTGTCTTGTTGACATATACCCATCAATATCAACATTTTAAAAAATACTTCCTGGTACTATAAGATGCTTCAGACTCCTATATTTCTTGTTCCAATCCTAGAATCTGCCATTTCTCCAAGGAGGTCTGTTTTTATTTAACTGGAGAATGGTATTTAGAAACCACGATCTGGGTGCTAGGTGCGCTTATTGCTCCTGGGGTGTTCCTGCTTCTAGGCCCTCTCAGGTGACAGAACAGAGGCATATGTCTACATACTAGCCCATGTATATATACACACGTGTCTATAAGTGTTTCTATATGTAACCATCTGTATGTATATTAAGCTAAACATGATTCATACTGAGGTCTCCAACTCTAATCCATTATCACATCGATCATTCTAGCCTTCTTTTATCCGTAACCTCCCTCTCCAACAGTGAGAAGCCTGGCTTCTGCAGTTCACCACCCATTTACCTATGTGTTCAATTCCAGTATACATGTGCGGTAGTTTGGAATTGATAATGTATATACCCCTGTGGGAAACTACATGCCCATCTAGAGGGAATGATAGCTGTCAAGTTCAATAGCAAGCAGAGTTGGGCAGATGGGTCCACCTCTGAGAACAGATTCTCTCATGAAAAGCTTTTCCATAGAGCCTTTTACATTATGTGTAATCAGAGCTACTAGTCTAGATATGGAGCTGGGCTCAGGAGGGATGGCACATTGAACTGACAAAATGCAGAGCAGCCTTTGTGAGATACGGATTGGGATGAAAGAACCTGGTGCGTATTGATGGAACTTTGGAATCCAATATTTCTCATTGCAAGTATACTATGGAGAAGGCTTTTTGTAAGATTGTACTTCATGTTCTGTACAGTTGAGCCTTCAGCCTTCTAGTGGACTGAAGGTTGTTGTCTTTTTGGTTTTGGTGGGGATAAGCCGTTTGTAGAAGGTTATCAACTAAATATAGCTTTGGGTGATGTCTACTGATTTCCTTTTGTCATGTTACTTTCATTACACTGTATATAAAGGAAAATAACCATTGTAAATACTATTTCGTTTTACGCGAAAGTAGGTAAATCTTTTTTTTTTAATTTTTAGGATCTGGGGACTCCGATTTACGTCTGGAGGATGCATTTGAAGCAACTTCCTCAGTAAAGCGTAAGTAGTAAATCAGAGTATTAAAAAACAAACAGTAATGATTAATATACACCACCCACTCAGAATACACACTCAAGAAAAACAGTAGGTGACCCTATATCGATCAGATAAACTATGGGTGTCATAAATTGCATTATTTAAGAGAAAATCTGAATGTTTAACATCATTTGTTTCCTTTGTGAAGAATACCAGACAATGAAATAGCTGAGACAGCATTTTCATTAGCAGCAGCCTCAGAAGACTGCCTTACCCTAGCTCAAAAGAAAGGTACTTTGAAGTGAATAAGGGATTTGTTTCTCCTTCTAGATTTTTTTATAATGACTTTTCTTAAAATGGTGTCTGTATGTAATCTCTCAAATGCTAAGCTTTGTCATCAGTTTCTCTTTAATTTTTTTGGGAAAAAAAAAACAAAAGAAATGTGTGAATGTTAGAAAATGAAGCTGAAATTTTGTGTGACCCCTCCCCACCCTACTAACATACACTCCCATCCCAGGAGGGAGCTGCTGAAGTGAGTTGGGATATGCTGGTCCCAAGTGATTTTCTATGCTGTTACGTATGTCTATACACATACGTTGTTTGGTGTCTTTTTGCTTTATATAACACATGCAGAGCTTTTTAATTTAGTTATATGTGTGTTATTGCACAACCTTTTTTATTGACTGTTGAAGACCTGAACGAATACATCTATCTGTATTTCCTACAGCTGCTGTAACAAAGTGCCATAAACTGGCAGGATTAAAAACCACAGAAATATATTCTCTCGCAGTTCTGGAGGCACAAAGTCCAAAATCAAGGTGTCGGCAGGACCACACTTCCTCTGAAGGCCTTGGGGCAGAAAGCTTCCTTACCCAGCCCTGCTTGTGGTGGCTTGTAGCTGTGAGACTCCAGTCTCTTCCTCTGCCTCAACAGGGCTTTCTCCTTTGTGGGGTGTCAACTTCCCTTCTGTCTCTTACAAGGATACTTTTTGTTGGATTTAGAACCCACCTGGATAATCCTGAATGATCTCATCTCAAGATCCTTAATTTAATAACAGCTGCAAAGACCGTTTTTCCAGTTAAGGTCACATTTATGGTTTCTGGGGATTAGGATTCTGCTATATATTTTGGGGGCCACCATGCAACCAACTACATCATCTGTATATCCTCATCTTTATATCTCTCCTTCAGATGTAAACTTGTGTTTCGTGGAGCTGGCATCCCAGTGGTGTGGCTTTGGCCATGGCTAGTGATGCCATTTCCTTACTGCCAGATAATGTCATTTGTTTTCGTGTTGAATAATTACAAATAGGGCTTCAGTGAACAGTCTGTCCATATCCCTTGTGCATGAGTTCAGTGGAACTACCAGGCCGAAGGGTGTACATATTTTATATTTTAATAGATTCTGCCAGATTATTTCCAAAATGAGTGGTCCATTATATATTCACTGAACACTGTTGAGTTCCTTTTCTCCCAGATCCACACATTACCAGATTTTACCTATCCAAGACATTTTACCAATATGATGGACCAAACATCTTCTTGCTTAATATGCATTTCTCTAATTATAGTAAGATGGAACATCGTTTCATATATTTACTGGCCATTTTTGTATTTTCCTCTTTGGCGAATTGTCTGTTCGTATCTTTCCCCCATGTTCCTGTTGGTTTGCTTGTCTTTTTCATGGGTTTGTGGTCTCTCTGTATATTCTGGATTGCAAAAGGCAGGGGCTCTCGAGTCAGACTTCCTGCGTCTGAGCCCTGCCTCTGCCACTTATAGTCATTGTAGGTGAGTCACCTGGCTTCTCTGTGCCTCCATTTCCTCATCTGTTACATGAGGTTAATAATGAGCCCTATCTACTAGGATTATTGTAAGGATTAGAAGAGATGGCCCATGTGAAGCCCTCAGCACAGTACTGGTATGAGGCGAGTGCTCAGTAAATGTCAGCTGATGGGCAGGACTGACCATAGCCGCTTCTCTGGTGTAAGTCAGGCATACATGAGGAATGCGTGCCTACTGAAGTTGATCAACACACTGAAAGCAATTCCTCCCTCTCAAAATCCCAGCTAGATATTTTGCAGAAATGGACAAACTGATCCTAAAATTCAGATGGAATTCAAGGGACCCCAAATTGCCAAAACAGTCTGGAAGAAAGAAAAAGTTGGAAGACTCCTACTTCCTAATTTCAGAACGTACTACAAATCTGCAGTAATGAAGATAGTGTGGCACTAGTGTAAAGGCAGACATAGAGTTCACTGGAATAGAATTGAGAGTCTAGAAATAAACCATCATATCTATGGCCAGTTGACTTTTTAAAAAAAATTTTTTTTAGTGTTTTATTCATTTCTGAGAGAGCGAGACAGTGTGAGCAGGGGAGGGTCAGAGAGAGAGGGAGACACAGAATCTGAAGCAGGCTCCAGGCTCTGAGCTGGCTGTCAGCACAGAGCCCGACGTGGGGCTCAAACCCACAAACCGTGAGATCATGACCTGAGCCGAAGTCGGACGCTTAACCGACTGAGACCCCCAGGTGCCCCTATGGCAAGTTGACTTTTGACAAAGATGCCAAGATTGTTCAGTGGGAGAAGAAAAGCTCTTTAATAAATGGTGCTGGGACAACTGGATTTCCACATGCAAAAGAATGAAGTTGGACACCTGCCTCATGCCTTATACAAAAACTAACTCAAACTAGATCATAAATCTGAAACTACAAATCTCTTAGAAGTTCATTTTCATGTATGGTGTGAGGCAAGAGCTTAGGGCAACCTCAGGTCTTCCCGGAGATTGCACACCGCCCTGTGCATGCAGGCGGCCTTTTGGATTCCCAGGAAAATAAGTACACTTGGTTTATTAGCAGTGATGGCTTTCATGAATCATTTAACATCTCTCAAAATAAATGAAAATTAACAAAACAAACCCCAAATAAACATAAGTATAAAGACCCCCAATTAGGAAATTTGTTCTTTTTCTGATGGGGGACATTTTGCTATTTATATCCCTTTCTCAGTTGTATACCTGCTCCTCCGATCTCCATCAGCACCTATCAGCCATATGTCCAGGACCCATAGGGCCACCAGCATGTGATGTCTTTGGTCAGATGACATCCTTAAAAGCCTCATCACTCTGCCATCTTTTTTCCCCCCCTTTTATTCTGTCTTAGCTTACGTTTCATGCTACTGAGGGTCAAAGAGATAGACCTGTCCACCTCTCCTAAGCTCAATTATGTTTTCTGGCGGAGAATGTTCTCCTTTGTATATTGTACTTCTTACTTCATGGACCTCCTAGGTCCAGGTATGGTGAAGCACCTTCATTCATCAGTTCAACAGTGATTATTGAGTGCGTGCCTGCTGCGAGGCACTACTCCAGTGCTGGGCATACCGTGTACGCTAGATTTGCCCTCACACTGTTATTTTCTCTGAACAGACACAGTACACGAAATGATATCAGGTATCGCTGAGCACTCTGGAACAAATATAACAGAGTGATGGTCCTGGGAGGGCCCAAGGAGGTGGTAAGGGGTGGCTACGTTAGATGAAGTGGTAAAAGTCCCCCTGACAAGAAGTGACCTGTGAGGAGTGGGGAAAGAGCTGTCAAGGCCAAGGAAGCAGGTGTAAGAGCCCTAAGGCAGAAGAGAACTGTACTGGCTCTGGAGCTTGGAAGGGGGCCTATGTGACTAACGTGTGGTGGATGTTGGAGGAAAGACAGAGAAGTTGGAAGGGGCTGGATCATGGGGTCTTCTAGGGCATGGTGACCCCTTTTTCTAAGTCAAGGGGAAGCTCCTAAAATTGTAAAAACTGCTGTCTTGAAATATAATTCACATATGATACAATTCATCCATTTAATTCTTCTTTAATGTTTATTTTTTATTTTTTAAACTTTTTAAAAATGTTTTTTATTTATTTCTGAGAGAGAGAGACAGCGTGAACAGGGGAGGGTCAGAGAGAGAGGGAGATACAGAATCCAAAACAGGCTCCAGGCTCTGAGCTGTCAGCACAGAGCCCGACGTGGGGCTTGAACTCATGAACCATGAGATCATGACCTGAGCCAAAGTACAGTGTTTAATCAACCACCCAGGCACCCTATAATTCATCCATTTAAAGTGTGCAATTGAGTGGCTCTTTAGTATATTCACAGGGTTGTGCAACCATCACTATAGTCCCATTTTAGAACCTTTTCATCACCTCAAAAAGAAGCTCTGTACCTCTTAGCTGTCACTCCCCAATCCCTGATTATTTCTCTCCTCCAGCCCCTGACAACCACTGATCTCCTTCCGGTCTCTCTGGATTTACCTATTCTGGATATTTCCTGTAAATGGAGTCCAATAATATGTGGACTTCATATTTGGCTTCTTATACTCAGCATAATATTTTCCTTTTTTCTTAACATTTTTTTGGGGGGTTGTTGGATTCTTCTTTTTTTTCTTAAATAGCTTATTGTCAAGTTGGTTTCCATATAACAGCCAGTGCTCATCCCCACAAGTGCCCTCCTCCATGCCCATCACCTCCCTTCCCCTCCCCCCCACCCCCATCAGCCCTCAGTTTCTCGGCATTCAAGAGTCTCTCATGGTTTGCCTCCCTCCCTCTCCCCCACTATGTTTCTGCTTCTCCCCCACGGTCCTCCATTAACTTTTTATTTTTTTAATTTACATCCAAGTTAGTTACAACATATAGTGCAACAGTGATTTCAGGAGTAGATCCTTAATGCCTCTTGCCCTTTTAGCCCATCCCTCCTCCCACAACCCCTCAAGTAACCCTCTTGTTTGTTCTCCATATTTTAAGAATCTCGTTTTTCCTCTCCCTATTTTTTTTTTATTATTTGTGCTTCCCTTCCCTTATGTTCATTGGTTCTGTGTCTTAAACTCCTTATATGTGTGAAGTCATATGAAATTTGTCTTTCTCTGACTAATTTTGCTTAGCATGATAACCTCTAGTTCCATCCACGTAGTTGCAAACGTCAAGATTTCATTCTTTTTATTGCTGAGTAATACTCCATTGTGTATATATATACCACGTCTTCTTTATCCATTCA